CTGATGCATGTTTCATGTTGAAATATTCTTGGTAACTATTTGGAGTTGCTCCTTCTTTCCAAACAGACAAATGGTATCGCTGACCACGGTAAGGTGTTAGGAATCCTTTCCCATTCGTATACCCGCATCCATTAGATAATAGTAACCTGTGCATGGAATGTTATGCATTAGATTAAATTATTATTTATGAATTTAAGAAAAATTAAGTACTTTTGTATTATCATTTGGGATCCTTAAAATATTGGGTTGATTGATTGCATCTCTCAAAACCCTAGAGTCGGCCATTGACCCTTCCCACCCCAACAACAAATATATGAAATTCATGTCTTGGGAGCAAACTCCCAAAACATTAGTAGCAATATCTTCTTTTCATGTCCTATACCTTGCTTGATGAACCCCAGGTACATGAACTTTAATATAGGTGCCATTGAGTGCTCCAAGACAATTCTAAACAAACCAATTCAATAGACATTATAATAGTTATGATTTTTGTTTTTGGTAAAAAAGATTTAATAAAAGAAAAAAAAATAATGTAGTGTTACCAAATTTTTGCAAATCCATTACCTGGAAGCAATTCCACCTTGGGTCGATGCTTGCTTCAGTTATAGGATTTGGTGTGACGAGTAAATTGGCTTGCAGACGCAACACAGCCTTTAAGACATCATTGAAGTATCGACTAACAGTCTCTCTAAACCTATAGAAATTGAACTTAACATTTCGTATTTTCAAGTATTGTGCCAAGATGAAGAGGAAAAAGGTCACTTTCTCTTATAAAGTGACATATTTTGAATGCCCTAACCCACCTATTGTATGAACCATATTGCACAAGGTCAAAAAAGCACGCCGATCCATACGGGGTTGTTCAACACATGTTATGTCACTTTCTCTCACTAAACGGTTAATATAGTCCATTTGTTTTTGCAATCTATTGGGCCCTCTAATATGGTTATGGCGATACTTAGATAAATACCTTTTCAAGATAACCTCAATGACAACAAAAGCTACGGCGCATAAGGCATGTAGTTGTTGCATTATTGCTTGCAACACTATGTATAATTCAAGCTCATCGTTATTCTCATCATCAAAATCATTGATATTCTGATCCATCTCTATATACAAGAAAATATTTAAAATTACAAATAAATTAAGTAAAGGAGAAAACATAACGGCAAATCATAAACAATATACTAAACAATTAGTTATACTCAACGGATGTTTACAATCCACAAAAAAAAAATAAAAAAAATATGAACAATAGAACAATTAATTACACTCCACACATGTTTACAATCCACAAAACAAACAAACAAACAAACAAAAATTACACAATAGAATAATTAATTACACTCAACAGATGTTTACAATCCACCAAAATAAAAAAAAAATAAAAAAATGAATAATAGAACAATTAATTACACGCAACAGATGTTTACAATCCAAAAATAAAATAAAAATATGAACAATGGAACAATTAATTACACTCAACAGATGTTTACAATCTAGAAAAAAAAATGTTTTCAATTTCTATCATTCAGTCCCGTTACAGAGCCCGAATTTCTGGAGCTCGAATTTGCTCGAAAAATCAAACGACGTCGTTTGATTTTTTTTTTTTGCCTTTTCTCTTTGAAGATGAGCAGAGAGAGGGAAAGTTGAGAAGATGAACATAGAGAGAGAAGAGAAAGCTGAGAGAGAAGAGGGCATTCATCAACACAACAACAACACATTCAACAACAATACATTCATCAACAACACAACATCATAAACAACAACAATCATCATCAACAACACAATATCATCAACATCTTCATCTTTTTTCGAATCTGAAAAAAAAAAATTCAACTACACAACATACATTCATCAACAACATCAATCACAAAAAAAAAAAAATTCAATTCAATTCAATTGTCGAATTTAAAAAAAAAATTAAAAAATCCAACAACACAACATCATCATCAACAACAACAATCATCAACATCTTCATCTTTCAGATCTAGATCCACTAGAAAAGAAAAAAAAAAAAAGTAGAGAGAGCAGAGGCAAGAGACCCACCAGCATCACCGTCGAATCATCTTCTTTTTCTTCAGATCCAGATCTTCATCTGTATTCGAATCATCTTCTTTTTCTTCAGATCCATATCCAAATCAACAAATCATCTTCATCTTCCTCTTCTTTTCTTCCTCTTCTCTCTCTTTTCTCTCTCTCGCCTGTGCCTGTCCCTGTTCAAACAAGAAAAAGAAGTAAAAGGGAAAAAAGCAAGAAAAGGAAGAAAAAAAAATGAAAAAAAAAAAAAATGAAACCCAAAACGACGTCGTTTTGGGTTTCGAGCCAACTTTTGAGCCACTGATTTCGGGCCCTCAAACAATTTTCTCTATCATTTTTGGACAAGTGTGTATGGGTCCAAAAAACAACTACTTGCTTCTTTTGTTGCATGTCTTACCATTGTCTTTTTCTTTTCTTTTTCTTATTTGAACAAAATGAAACTGTGGACTAGTCTGTGTAGGTTCAAAAAAAAAAAAAAAAAAAAAACTGCTTATTTCTTTGCTGCATGTCTTACCATTGTGTTTTTGAGATTCTATCAAGCTTCATCTTAACTTTCCTTTTTCTTTTCTCTACTTTTGTCATATTCTAACAAATCTATATCATTTAGATTTTAACTAATGTTTTGAAATATAACTATACAAAAAAAAAGGCACTCCTACTTATAAAATGTCAAGAGTACTAATGAATCATTGTTTAGGGATGTTGTCCCAAATGTGGCAAAAAACAGAGCATGGATTTTTCTTTGTATAAACAAAAAACAAAGTAAAAAAAAAAAAAAATGAAAAATGAAAGGTTATAGATCTGAACTGAATAGATTTTTCTTTGTATACTTGCCATCTACCATAGATCCAAGGTAAAGATACATAAATCAATAAAACAGAGCACTCAACCAACAGAGCATGGATTTTTCTTTGTATACTTGCCATCTACCATAGATCCAAGGTAAAGATACATAAATCAATAAAACAGAGCACTCAACTAACACTGCCCACAGAACATCGCACTGAATATATTTAAAAAAAAAAGAAAAATTGAAAAAATAAATAATGAGAATAAGTTTCAAAATCACAGATGTAGAACTTGATAAAAATGAATGAAAATAAAAGATGTAGAATGAACTTGAGTTTCAAAATCAAAGATGTAAACTGAAAAAATATGAAAAAAAAAAAGAATCAAAATAAAAAATAAATAGCAAAGAAAGAGATAAAGGTTACAGATTTGAATTGAATGAAGATGAAATGTAGATCAGAGAATAAATAGAAGATTGAAAATAAATAGAATGAAGCTGTTGAAAATAAATAGAATGAAGCTCAGCAAAAAATAAATAGAATGAGTTTCAAACCTGAATGAAGATCGGATGCAAAGGTTTAACAGATCGGAGATTAAAGATGAAATGAAGCTCCTGCAGTGAAATGAAGTTGCTGTGAAAGAACAATAGGCAAAAGATAAAAGAAAGAGATAGGGCCAACGATGTAATTCAATGGCTAATCCCATGGGATACATCGTCTCACGAATTCTGTCCCAACCCCCCCTCCTCCGCGCAGATACAATAAGCCATTGAATATAAGACCAATAGTCCCGGGGGGGGGAGATTATTAGTCCGGAACAAAAAATTCATATCAAACAATGGACTATTAGTCCATCTGGACTAATAATCCAATCCCATAGTGTTATCCTTCAAAACAAACAGGCTCGTTGAGTTTTCACGACATCACATCAATGATATACAATAAAAACAAGTCGTAATTTTTTACTTTTACGATTTTCTTTTTTTGCATGTCATAAATAATATCCTAGCCACGACATGTCAATCGCTTATGCCATTAATGCTACTAATGATAATCGCTTATGTTGTATATGTTAGCCATAAATAGTTAAACTTTTTATGACATGCCTAAGGTCTGTTATTTATACATTAAATATATGGACCTTGCTACATCTCCCTAATTTTTGGCCTCCTCGTCGCCCTAAATTTCAAACCAAGGCAAAAAAAAAAAAAAAAGAAAAAAAAAAAAAAAAAAAAAAAAAAAATTGCCCAAAATGACATCGTTCTAAGAATTAAGGGAATTAAGAAAGACTTTTTTAAAGGGACAAATCATTTTCCTAAATATATATAACATACGCATGCTTGCCGTTAAACATATTTCACTCTACACGACACACGATTTTTGTCGTGAAATTGATGACTCAAAAAAAAAAAAATTGCACCAAAATAACAACAACAAAAAAAACAAAAAAAATCGAGCTCCAACACCAAAAGCACATATTAAAAAATATATATCTATCTATCTATACTATTATAAAGTGAACACCTTTTATAGTGTCCTGAAGCTTTACTCTCCTCATGCCATGTGGCAGTATTTTTTATTTTTTTAAAAAAAGTTAAACAAAGAGATGGGCATACTATTATAAAGTGAACACCTTTTATAGTGTCTTGAAACTTTACTCTCCTCATGCCATGTGGCAGCATTTTTTATTTTTTAAAAAAAAGTTAAACAAAGAGATGGGCAAGGCTTGAACCCATAACCATGGGTTTAAGTACGAGGACTCATACCACTTAAGCTAAGTACACATTATAATATTAATTTCATTATTATTTTTTTTATTCTTACTTATTTAAATTATTCTTACTTATTTAAATTGCACACACATCGTGTGTGCCACCCACTAGTACTATTATAAAGTGAACACCTCTTATGGTGTCCTGAAACTTTACTCTCCTCATGCCATGTGGTACTATTATAAAGTGAACACCTCTTATGGTGTCCTAAAACTTTACTCTCCTCATGCCATGTGGCAAAGAGATGGGTAAGGCTTGAACCCATGACCATGGGTTTAAGTACGAGAACTCATACCACTTAAGCTAAGTACACATTATAATATTAATTTCATTATTATTATTTTTTATTCCTACTTATTTAAATTTTACACACCCACTAGTATAGCAAAATGTATCAAAATATATCTCTACATCTCCATATCTCTATATCTATCTATTTTTTTCTCTTCTCTCTGCCTCTAAAAACCCTCCATCGTCATTCCTATCTCATAGTCACCGACTTCGATTTGATCCCACTTCTCTCCATTGCAGATTAGCGATAAGGGTTTTAGGGTTTTGATTTGGGTCGAGCAATTGGTGATAGGGATTGTAAGGTTTTGATTTGGGTGTTCTTTCTTCAATGGAGTGAAGATTGGTTTTTTAGATTTGATTTTGGTGAATGGCGAAGAGAGAGAAACCCTAAAGGGCGTCACCAATGCGACTCTGTCCTCGTCTCACAAGGGCGTGTCACCACCAGCCAACTCGATGAATTGGCCACTGAAACTGCTGCCGCCATGACTGCTAACCATCCCAACTATGCTTCTGTGAGTTCCACTTCTTTTTTGTTCTGGGTTTCCATCAATTTACTGATTTATGCTTTCTTTATTCAATTAATCTTCTCAATTTGTTCATAATCAGTTTGATATGTGCCCTTCAATTCTAAATTTGGGTTATGGGTTTGGTTTTTTGGTTATGGGGTTTGCACATATGTGAATATGTTTAGATGGGTTTGGTTTTTTTTTTTGGATTGTGGGTTCAATTCCTTCTTTGCTTTCTTTTTCTGTATTTTTCTTATTTATTTTGTTTTCGGTGTTTTTGTTTTTTAAAAATTGTTTTTCAGATTTGGGGAATGTTGGTTGCACTTGAGGTGGTTGCTAATGCATCCCAATATATATATATATATATATATCGAGAGAGACTCTCTCTCTCGATCTCTAAAGAATTTGTTCTTGTCAATCATAGTTGAAGCTGTATAATGATAAGTCAATATTTTCTTTATTATAAGCCTTTTGTTCAATTAATTAATTGATTTAACATATTCAAAAATTACTTTGTGTACTAATTAGGCTACAGAACACCAAGAATTTAGAGTTTTACTTGATGTAATTTACTGTTTCACAATCTTTTATTCTTATTCCTTTTTTTATTTTTTATTTTTAATTTTTTTTGTTCTGTTTGTTATAGTTTTATATTTGCTTTTCTCCTTTTACAATAGTCTTTAATTTGTGTTTTGAGTTGGTTCTTCAAGAACATTATGTTTTTACCTCTGACCTTTCAGTCAAAAACATTACATATCTTTTGAAACATTACATACATTTTAAAGTCTTTAATGCACCTAATATCTCCATTTGATTATCATAGTATGTTCTTTCTTTTGCTCACTATTTGACATTAAACAAGAGAATTTTGGGGCTTTATCGGTATCAAACTGGAAAGGGTATGACCCTCTCCTATTTTCTTTTTCTCATGTTGTTCTATTACTTATGGGGATCGAAAAGGCATTGGTCGCATTATGTAATGGGTTTTATTGGACTAGGATATCATTTTGAATATTGAGATATTAATTTGGGATTTGATTCCACAGTTTCTTTCTCTTCTGTTCTTTTTTGACCTTTGATAAGGGTATGATCCTTTTGATATGTTTCCTTATTCTCACACATATTGGGTATGGATCCACTGGTTCATTGGTCGAAATTTTGGTCAAATTGTGGTCAAATTTTGTGACAATCTGCCGAATTGATTAAGTTAATTTTTCTTTTTAGTTAATGAAATCTTAGTTTCAAATTCAAACCAATTCAAGGTACCAGAATTCAAGGCTTAAGGGTTTTTATTAGGAATTGGATTGAAGGTTTGAACCAGGTTCTAAAATTGGAGCTAAAGCTCACTTACTTGGTGGTTTGAATCTTGGAGGGTGATGTACACGTTTGCATTTGCAGCTCATCTGTGTTCTATTTTGTGAAATTCTTTTGTGCTTTGAATTATTTAAATCAAACAAGGAGTTGAGAGAAATGAGAGATAATTAGATTAGATAGTATAATTTTTTGAAGCAGTGGGAGATAATTTAAGCAATTTGTAAGAAATGTCACGGTTTTGGGCATTTTGGAGAATTTTTTTTTATGAGATCAATACCAACAAAACTATTTGCTTTATATTCGTATAGATATAGTGTAATGGAAGACTATATAAACAACCCTTTCACATGCGCAATCTCTTGAGAGTTGCACTACAACGAGACAAATGCTCTAAAGACTTAGGTCACCAATCCCACGGTAAACACACTCATAATTAAAATACTGAGGGCATGGTTTTATCCATACAATTACTACACCCACCAAACAAATTTTCTTTAAGTATAATAGAATCATAGAACTTGCCCTAAGGATTTTTTTTTTTTGTCCAAAACTTTCAATTATTTGAACTTCGGTTATTGACCATCAAAATAATATAATACTTAGTTCCATAACCATTAGTACTTGGATGTTGCTGCTAGTGTGATTTTGTAATCGTGGCTTTTGCTTGCTTACCAAACACAAAGAAGTTTTTTTTACTCTACAATTTTTTCTATTTCAAATTAATTTAATGCATATGATATATAGTTGGACAGAGTTATTTGAGTGGCTACAATAGCGTTTCAGTCCCTCTCTCTTTTTTTTTCTTATGCGCATTCGATTGTCTGCCTAGCAACACATCTTTGTTAATTTAGTGGATTTAGGGCATGTTTGATTGGAAGGATTAAAGCCATACCTACAATACGAAAATAAGTCATTTCGAGAAACAAAAATACTCATGCTAGGAAGATATTATTATGAAACATTTAACATAATTAAGTAACATTGCATGTGCCATCGAGGGAGCTTGATAAAAAAATTGAACTTGAGCCACTTGATGCAGTTAATAGGTCCGTTATAGAGGATGAAAGCTCCAATGAAAAATTTAGTTTTAAAGCCACAGTCCAACAATCTGTCTCGTCTACCAAACTTCCTCCAAACAATGTGATTACAAAGTCAGTTATTTATTTTTCCTGAAAAATAAAACTAAACGACATTCAAATACAAGCATTAAATTGTTGAAAAAATGAAGATTCACTTTTTTTACCCGATCATAGGCCAAATAATGATCATGCCATCTTTTGAACTAGAAATAAGAAATGAATCATCGCTGGAAAATGTCAAGCAAGTCACTGATTTTTTATGTGCGCACCAAGTCCTGACAAATCTCCCATTTGAAATCTACAAATTACCATGACACTCAATATTTGAAAATAATGACTACAAATAATATATACAAATTAAGCTAATGGCCCACAAAGACAACTATTCAGTAATTTTTTATATTGTGATCAATTTAATGTAAAGTACTCTGATGAGATTAAAAAAAAATGATCTTTGCATGTGGGGCTACAAAAAGAGTTTATTAATCTCTCAAATTCAAGTTATTGTAACCAATGATCGCTATGATAGATGGATTTTAAAAGTAATTACTAATAGCATTATTACTTTTGTCCAGTTAATCAAGTGATTGTAACCAATGATCGCTATGATCCTAACTTTTTTGTTTTCTTGACACATGTTAACACCTGACCTTGGTTTGTCCAAAGGGTCATGAGTTTAAACTTGCACTTGATAAAATTGCACAATGTAATAATAGCCCTGATATGCATGGTGGAGGGTTTTGTGAGTTAATAAAGTAGAGAGAGCAGATTGTGAAATTTTTTTTGGTAAATGTGGTGACCATGTTCAATTGTGAAAGCAGATTCAAACAGTTGGTGACAATGTTCAATTTGGTGACCATGTTCAATTGTGACCACATTGTGATAATAGCCCTTATATCTTTTCCTTTCCTCTATGATAACTTGGGCATATAACCTACCATATTTAAGCTTTGAAGTTTGATGCATCTGTTCAAAGTAAAACAAATATAACTGATGTTACTACTAATCAACAAATTTGTCCAAAACTCTCAACTCTTGCAACCTCCACCTATGAAGATTTTTTTGGCTTAGAACATGGACATGATTTTTTTTTTTTTGGTTGATAAATCACCTGTACATCAAGATATTAAAAAAATAGGAAAACTATTAATCCAATTTGGGCTGTTTGTTATGCTTTTCTGTTGATAGTAGTATGCTCTGTTTCTGCTCTATCTAGGAGATGGTAGTTTGTTTGTGTTGGCTAGCTTGGTGTAGAGGTTCTCCTCCATTGATTTCTATTCTGTACTCTGTTTGATTCTTTTCATCTTTTTCAATAAATTTTGTCATTCACCAAATAAACAAAAATAAAGAAATTAAAATGGAAAACCAAGTTATTGCACACAAATGGATAGATTCCACACTATGTCAACAAAATATCAAAAAAAAAAATCTTCCTCTTTCTACTCATGCTTCTAATTTTGTACGAGTACAAAGACAAATTCAGTTTCATAAAATGAATTTCTTCGCGGTTCTCATCTCAATAACTACATCCCCATAAATATCGAGCAAATAGATAGATAAGAATGATATGACAACTTAGGAGGAAATAAGATCACGCAGATTTTGACAATAAATAGATAAGAATGATATAATAGTCTCTTTTTCTCTTTTCCTTTCTAAATTCTTTTCCAAATCCCCTAATAGTTTCACACATTTTTTCTTTTTTTCTTTTCAAATCTCTTTTAAATCTCCTAACTAAATAGATCGTTAATAAAAAATCAGATTGAACATATATCAATACGCACCTTATTAGATCTTTGTTGTGCCTTGATATAATAACTGTTGTGGTGTGCCTTGTTTTAGAGCCCATCCCATGTTCACATCTATGATCTATACGGCTCATTTTGTAAGGCATATCATCTAGATTATTTATGGAAAAAAATGAAGTTAATCAAACTTTGGAAGTTATATGATCAAATTGCATTTGTTTTATCAAAGTAAACTTCAAACATAATTTTGAAAATAAATCATTCGTTCATGTTAAAAGAATAGCAAACCTGCATTTGAGCAAGATCAGTGCTGACAATGAAATCGTCTGCACCCAACTGGTGTTTAGCCTCGTCTTCTTTAGATGGGGAGGTGCTGATGACAGTGACATGGTGACCAAAGGCCTTGCCGAATTTGACAGCAATATGTCCGCGCCCTCCGAGTCCGATCACTCCGAGCTTTTTGGGAGGGGAGTCAAGCTCAAGCATGTTGTTCTTCAATGGGCAGAACACAGTTACACCAGCACACAACAAAGGTGCTGCTGCATCCATTGGTAGGTTTTCTGGCACATGCACCACATATCTGTCCACCCAATCCAATTACAGTCACAACCAACCACATTTAATTTGAATCACACCAAGAGAACTTCAAGCTAGTGTCAATGTTTTACTCTGCTATATACACGGAATTAAATTATGGAAAATTACTGAAATATTTAATGTGTGGAATGTCCATGAGACCCACAATAACAAATATTACAGATATATTTATTTTGTTTGATTCTGTAGCTGTACTACCACTTAAATTTGTGGATAGATGCCTTTGTTGGAAACACTCATAATTGTTGAATTATGTTTCAATTTTTGTTTTTACATAAATATAATAAGAGCAATGATATATAACTCTAATTCAAGAGCTCTAAATAGAGCTCTAGTGAGTTGGCAAGTCAAAAGAAGATGAAAGACACCAATGAAAAGTAATAATAATTACACATGAGCTAGTGTCACATAATTAGAACTCTTATTTTAGAGCTTCCAAATATTTTTTTATGTAATAATTGTATATTCTTTTAGAAAAGAGGGTGTTGAGATATTTGGAGAATAAAATAAGGGTTTTGATACAGACCCTACAAAACTCAACCCACATGACCCTTACGCACGTGTGTGAGAGAGAGGGAAAAATAAAATAAAATAAAAAAATACATACATATATACATGCCTTGTCCACATCAATTGGGAGTCCTGGAGTCACCAATTTTGGAAGTCTCAAGCATTAATCATAAAATAATATTACTGACCTTTTTAACATATTTATCTTAAATCATAAAACATTATCCAAAGTATTTGAGAGATTCTTTGTCCTCAAATCATTCTATTCTCTGTCTAAAACATTCATAGCCAGTTGAATCACTTCTCAAATTTTTTGCATCTCGAGATTTTCACGTGATTCAAAAGTTGTGTGAGTTTAGACAGAGAGATTGGGGGATAAAAAATTGTGGGCAATTTTTTCATATATTTTTTCGTATTGGGTGGGGAAAAACAGGGTAGGGTATAGGCCATTTACCTGTGATCTGCAACAAGCATTTTGGAGTAGCCACCATAGGTGATGCTACCATCCCAGAAAATGCCATTGTATGTAAACTGAATCTGGCCACAGTAGTTCTCCTGCGAGTCCTTGCAGAACTCGCATTCCAAACACGACGCCGCCAAGCATCCCACGCCCACCCTGTCCCCTATCTTGAACTTGCTCACATTGCTTCCCACCTTGCTTATCAACCCTGTTATTTCATGCCTACCAAACACACACACACACACACACACACACAAAACATTTGTTATATTAATAGAATTTACTTGTGTCCCATTCCGTGAAATTTCTCTGTGCAATTAGGCTTTTTTGCAGTTATTTACTTACCCGGGGACAACAGGGTACATGGTGATGCCCCAATCGTTGCGAATGTGGTGAAGATCAGTGTGGCATATACCACAGTACAAGATATCGATGGTCACATCGTTGATGCCATTTTCTCTGCTTATACATAACACATGAAACATTAACATGTATCTATAATATATACTAAAACTTAAAGATAGTTGAAATTAATTGGGCATACCTTCTTTTGAAGGTGTAAGGGGTGATGTTGCCAGAGGAATCATGGGCTGCCCAGCCAGAAACAGTTTGTGTATGGTTTGGAGTTGTTTGAGCCATGAGAGAGAGAGAGAGAGAGGGAGTTGGGATGGTTGATTCCTTGAATGTATAGCGTATAGGCTACAGCAACTTGGTTCTAAGATGGGACGAAGTTTGCCCCTCTTATAGTATTTTTAGTGCAGCATGGGACAAGCATGTGGTAGTTGGATTGGTAGGTAGTTATGAATACTTTAATCGAAAATGTTTACTTTCTGAGATTATTTTTTTATAAATTATTTACTGGAATAATATAGTTATAATTTATGGTATCTCGATGAGTTTATAATTTTAAAATATCATGTTTTTTGCATCTCGAGATTTTCACGTGATTCAAAAGTTGTGTGAGTTTAGACAGAGAGATTTGGGGGATAAAAAATTGTTGGCAATTTTTTCATATATTTTTTCGTATTGGGTGGGGAAAAACAGGGTAGGGTATAGGCCATTTACCTATGATCTGCAACAAGCATTTTGGAGTAGCCACCATAGGTGATGCTACCATCCCAGAAAATGCCATTGTATGTAAACTGAATCTGGTCACAGTAGTTCTCCTGTGAGTCCTTGCAGAACTCGCATTCCACTTTTATATACAGCCATATAAAATGTGTTAATGAACTCAATTATTAGTGGAAAATTTTCAGTAATATATATTTTTTGGGTTGTATGTGAATCAAATGTTTTCAGAGAGGGATTAGTTTTACCAACATTTTGGTACATGCATTACCATAATTAATATAAGAAAAATTCTTTTCATAACATATTAATAATTAAATTATTTCTAAAGTATGAGCTCTATTTATTTTGTTCCCAATCTTTTAATTACATCAATTCAATCCCCAACTTATTCCATTTGTATTTGAACCGTCCCTAATGTTGTTTTCATTCAAATTCTAACCATATTTTGTATAAATTTAGACAAAATTTATTTGCTTCAGTTATAAAATTTAGACCAAAATGACACTAGGTCCATTTACTTCTGTTGTTTTAGCAAAATGCATTTTTCCTATCTCTATGCATCCTTCACTTTAGAATTATCAATCTATGTCTACTAATCAATCTCCTTACAAATCTATAAAGCTGAATATCAAATCCCTTCATTTAAAATCCACACACTTATCAACATTCATTAATTTTCATCACTAAAATTTGAGCCTGTTCTAATTTCGTTTTAACATTTTGTCAAACACATGGTGAGCAAGAGGTGGAAAACAACAACAATAAAAAGCATAGACCAAACAACAGCAACAAATAAACTACCAACAACAACAATAGTAACATCATCACACACAAACTAATTGATTAAAAGAAAATTAGAATTGAATGGGAGTACGATTAAGAATCATTATGTAGAACAATAGAAGAATGAATTGGATTTAACAGGGTGTGTTCCAATGGTTGAGAGAGAGAGGGAAGAAGGAGAATAAGAAGGGGAAATACCAGGGTGTGCTCCAATGGTTGCTGCGAGCGAGAAATAGAGAGAAAAAAAGCTACTCTTGGCGAGATGGGTTGTACCGTCGCCGTTGGGGAGGTGGTCGTATCGTCGCCGGTGAGGAGGTGGGTGCTCGTGTGCGACAGTGGTGGCCGGTAGGAGGGTCGCCTGCGATGGAGTGAGAGAGAGAGAGAGAGAGAGAGAGAGAGAGAGAGAGAGAGAAGATCGATGATAAGAGAGTGAAATAGGAGAGGGCTGTGTAGGGTAATTAATTAAGGACAAATGCCGACTAAATTTTATTAGTAGCCAAAACGTTAACCAACAGCAACCAAACATTATTTTAGTCGCTAAAAGTAATAATTTAGCGACTAAACATTTTAGTCGGTAATTAATTTCATAAATCCCGCCAAAAATTCAATTTTTCCCTCTAAATATTTTAATTGTTTGGCGACTAAAATATTTTTTAGTCGTTGAAAATCAATTTTTGGCGACCCAATTTTTGGTCGCCAAAAGTCTAAAAGTAAATTTTTTATTTTTCATTCGGTGACTAAAAAATTTTAGTAGTCAAACTATCTATACAGCGACTAAAACATTTTTTAGTCGCTAATTGTGGTCTTTTTAGCTACTAAATTTTTTTTAGTCGCCAATAATCAATATTTCCTAAATAAAAAAAAATTAGTAGCTAAATATTGTACATTTGCCGACTAAAAAAAATTTTAGTCGCCAATTCGACATGTTTTGGCAACTAATTTTTTTTTAATCGCCAAGTTTGGTCGCCAAAAGTGTATTTTGTTGTAGTGAATGCTCACTATTATACTAGACTGATGTAATATTTCGTCATCACATGTATATTTGGTTGACTAATGTTTGGCTTGTCTCCTTTTATATCTGATTATATATTTTTAAAATCTGGTTTAAGAAATTGCGACTGATTGCATTCAAGTTGTTCCTCCTTTTTAATTTTTATTTGCCATTTGTAATAGATTTTGATTTTGCCTTTTGCTTCTGTATGCCATGTACAAAAACATCAGAGATGATCGTGATCCTATTAACTTAATTTTTGATTCACTAAGTTTTCATGAATTAGGATCTTTGGAGCAAACTCTTTGACTCCGTTTGTTTGGAGAGTTAGAGGGGGGATTGGGATTGGTAGTGAGGTGAGATCCACTAATATTGTGTTTGTTTTGAGAGACGGGGAGAGGATTGATAGTGAGTTCCAGATTATGATGGGCCTCCCCAACGGGAGATGGGCCTCAAAAACTTGGTATTAGAAAAATAGTCCGGCGGACTAAAATTTTTTTATTTTTATTTATTTATTATTTTATTTTTTTACATGTTGGGCATTTTTTTTGAACATTAATGTTTAATTTTTTGTACTTTTTGTTAAGTAAAAATCATTATTTTATTTGTTTTATTTTTTTCTGGAAATCTTTTATTTTATTTTTATTTTTTTAAAATTTTTTACATGTTAGGCATTTTTTTAAAAACATTAATGTTTAATGTTTTTGTATTTTTTTATTTGTTTTATTATTTTATATTTATTTTATATAAAAATAATTTAGCAATCCCTACACTAACAATTATTATCAAAACAGGCATAATTTTATTTAATCCCCTCACTATAAATCCCTTATTAACAATCCCTTCACTATCAATTCTCTCCATTCTACCTCTGAAAACAAACAGAGCCTTTAGATTTTTCATTATTATTATCTTGCTGCTAATCTGTCAGTTTCAATTCTATGTGAAGCAATATTGTCCTTTCATGTTTCAGGTTTGTCATGAGTCCCCTTATTTGATTGAAGGATTTGAGGGGAGATTTAGAAAGATAAATGGAAAAAGTAGGTGAAATGTGAATAAAACATACTTATATTTCACATAGTTTTACATACTTTTTCCCTTTTCTTTTCCAAATTCCTCTCCAAATCTTCCAACCAAACACATCATTAGGGAATCGGGACATGGAAAGGCTCTCCAAGGTGGCCTGTCAACAAGGGTTTTGCTCTCATCTTTATAGTAGATAGCTACTATGTTACGACTCCGAGGATAAGAATTTGGATGTTAGATGTTTTCCTAAAATCATGGCATTTGTAAATAGATTATTTCCTTGAATTGCAGTTATTGATTTCTGATATGTGCTGTTAGGATCACAAAGAATGTACATATCTAATTTAGGATTTTTGCTCAGATAGTCTATGACATGATTGAGCTATTTTTATGTCCCAGTCCTCGTTAATTTGCCCATGACTCTGCTTCATATTTTGCAGCTAGTAGGAACTGATCACTGTGCCTTCAATTCCACACAGAAAGCTTTTGGCATAGATAATTTTCGTAAAATACCATATGGGGTCAACGATAATTATGAGCTTTTATGGTTCTTAGTATCTGCAAAGTTTCCTTTTTCATGGCCCGAGTCAGTAATTCTACTTTCTAATTCATCTATGTATAGGCATCGAAGAGAGGATGCATCTAGTTCGGGATACGATGGTGGTGAGTTTCTGTGAATTTGTACTTTGACCATTGAAAACTAACTGTATTTGTTAAATGTTTGTTTTCTCAATTTCTATTTGTTCATCCAGGAATCAGGCCAAATATCTATCACCGATTATGTCCGAATAACCTGCACTGAATGGTATACTTTCACTCTGAAAGCTTGGATTATGTCTCATCTCTATGTGAATTTCTATAATGCTCCCTCAGATGCCAAATTTAATTCATAAAATCATGTTTCTTAACAGTTCGGTCCCACTAACAGATTTATGATAAACTCGACATGTGTCGGACACAGACACGCGCTAGATACACGTCGGACACGCTAGAAAGAGTTGGACACGTTGGAACACTTTGGACACGCTCGAGATACTCTAGGAATGCGCTGAGTACTATTTCTTTCAAAAAAAATTATAATTTTTAATTTTTATACTAAAATAGCATACCTAAGATTGATAAATTTGGTAAAATTAAATATTTGACATAAAATACATATTAAATATTTAAAAATATACATATAATACAAATATAAAAACATATGTTTTGAACGTGTCCCTAACGTGTCGTGTCCTATATTTTTTGAAAATTTACGTGTCTGTGTGTCCATGTCGTGTCACGTGTTCGTATCCATGGCTGTGCTTCTTAGATGGTAAATGATTTTAAAATTTTCATTTTGGTCAATGCCAGGATCTTTAATATATATCCAAGGAAAGGAGCAATCCTTGTTGGATCAGATGCAGATATAATCATATTCAACCCAAATTCAAGCTTTGAAATTAGTGCCACTTCTCACCACTCTAGATTGGACACGAATGTCTTCGAGGGAAGAAGAGGGAAGGTAACATTTTTCGTAATTGATTGTACCATGTGTTAATAACCAATAAACTTTGGTAATTAATTGCATTGTGAGGAGAGAATGGAATTGAAACATTTTGTTTTATTTTATATTTAAATTTGAAAGGCACAAGCTTAAGGAGAGTGCATGGATTTATGATCTCTGCAAAGGGTAATTTGCTATACTGTTGCTGATTGTTCTTCTGATGCTTTCCAGCTGTCTGAGTTATGTGTTCCTCTTGTTTGATCCATATTCCCTAAAGTTTTTGAAGATAAATGCTTGCCTATGGTTTATTTGGTAAATTTTTGGGTTTGTGAGAACTATAGTGTGAATGTTATCCTAGTTGTTTGGATGCAATAATTTAGTGGGAAGAATTTTTCACTTTTGATTTGTCCGTAAGGTATGCCATCATATGAACAGTTGAGATTGGCTACACTCTACCTGTGACATATCTCTCTCTAATTCGTATACAATTCTATTACAATTTTGGAATTAGTAAAATACCTTGCTTTTAGTTATGACTAACTAAAATTTTCTATTCACCCAAAAAAAAAGAATCAAGGTTGCGTTTGGTAGAGTTTTCTAAATATGATTTGAGAATAGAGTTGTATTTTGAGTTTGTGAGTTTTGGAATTATGATTTGAGTGTAGAAAATTTGTTTGGTGAAAGAATTTTGAATTGAGTGGGGGATTTTTGATGTGTCATATGATATTTGATATAAAAACTTATAATTCATAACCAAACACATAATTCAAAATTCCATTAAAACTCATAAAAAAAAATTTAAAAATTCAGAAAATATTTTTTATTCAATATATAAAAATTAACATGGGTCAAATGCAAAAATAAAAAATAAAAAAAATTTGCACTGGTTTGGTCAACCGGCCGGACGACCGGTGGGACGTCTGGTAGGACGTCCGATGGGACGACCTGTTAGTTCAAATTTTTCTGCCTTTGACCGTGTTTTCAAGAATGAATGTGGAATTAATTTTTGAAAATCGAAAGCAAACGCTATGTTGAAATGGAGCTCTGGTAACATTCCAGAGCTCCACCAAACAGAGCCTAATTTTCTTTAGGAAATTTCCCCTCATATTATTTCATCCCTTAATGCTAAATGTCATTCAATGCAAATGTGAGTTCTCCTTAGATGCTCCGTTTTTATGTGGGTTTATTAAATAAAGCTACATAAAGTAAAGCCAAGTTGTTTTGCTAATGGCTTTGCTGATTGTTAATCTTGTGAAATTGGCACCGTAATGAATAAACAAGATTGTGTCGTTATTCCACAAGTTTTGTTTTTACCTTTTTTCCATTCTTACTCTCTTATTGCTCACCGGAAAGTGCTACAATGGGCACCCCTAAAAATGTGCATATTGTAAGAAAAGTTTTGATTTTTGTGGTGAAAGTTATGAATCTTTGTAGTGAAAGTTAGGAATGATGAAGTTATGACGTCCACTCCTAAAATTATGAATTGTAAAGTTATACTTGATGGTAAAAGTTATATTTTTTGCGATGAGCAAAAAATTTACTTTTTGTGGTAAAAATTATATTTATTTGTATAAGGTGGATACCGTATGCACCTTTTTTGGGATGCACATAGTAGCCTTTTCCTTGTTCACCTCATATGAGTTTGCATGCTTATAGTTTCTAATTTGTTAGTAACACAAATGTGATTGTCTTGTGGAATATTAGCGGTATTGCTAGAACTGTTATATATATATGCATGTACATATACATATTTTTCTTTTTTATATGTAAAGTTTATTAGAATAGGCATTGAACAGGGATGCTGCCTATGCACATCTTCAATTGTTACTTTGGTTGCGTTTGGTACAGCTTTTTAAATATGATTTGAAAGTAGGAATTGTATTTTGAATTTATGAGTTTTAAAATTATTATTTAAGTGTGGAAGATTTGTTTGGTAAAAGAGTTTTGAATTGAGTAGGGAATTTTTGATGTAACATATGATATTTGATACAAAAACTAACAACTCATAACCAAACATATAACTCAAAATTCTATTAAAGCACATAATTTTTTTTTAAAAAACTCAGAAAATATTTTTTTCGAATATAAAAAAATTAACATATGTCAAGTGCAACAAAAAAAAGAAATCGTATTGTTCCGGTCAAACGACCAGACAACCGGTTAGGCCAAATTTAAAATAAAAAAAAATTGAAAATCGCGCCTCAGACAGTTTTCTGCAGAGTTGTGAAAAATTAGTTCCAAATACCTATCGAAACATCATATTAAAATGTGGGGGTAGAATCACAGTTTGGAAATCGTTCCAAACACAGCCTTTATTTTTTAATGTTTATTGCTCGATGAATCAACACACCATTACAATTGTCCATGAATACTGCAACTATAGATAATTTGATCTCAATTTTTAATAACACTAAATGGTGTCACTCATGGATTACAAACATCGATTTGTACTTTGTGCCAAGTTCCAATGATTTCTTTTCATGTTTTCTCAGGGAAAGGTTGAAGTAAAAATTGCTGGAGGAAGGATTGTTTGGGAAAATGGTCAATTGAAGGTTGCCCTGGGTGATGGAAAGTATGTAGAAATGCAACCTTTCAGTTATCTTTTTGGTGGAATTGACAAGCAGATGCAAAGTACCTCTCTTCTCTCCGAGCTCCAGTGAAGTGATTCAAAGCCACAACTTGACTTGCAGGTTCAATTACTTTCACTATTTATGATAGCTTTGCACAAACTTATGTTTAATGTTGTGTTTGGTTGGGGGATTTGAGGAGGGATTTGGAAAGGAAAATGAAAAAGGTAGGTGAAATGTGAATAAAATATACCTATATTTCACCTAGTTTCACACATCTTTTCCTTTTCCCTTTCCAAATCCCTCCTCAAATCCCCCAACCAAACACAGCGTAAGGGATTAAGTAATGTAGAGCTTAAGTTCATGTAAATACAAGCTCAAATAATAAAAAAGAAACATAGGTATTGATATTGTATATCCTGTTGTAAAATATATATGCATTCATAATATATGATTTATGCAATAAATTTTGTTATTTTGCTGATTTTTTTTTTTTTAATATATCAAGAAATAAACTACTTATCTTCCTTGCTTTTCTCCTATAAAAGCATTCAAAAAAGAGTAAGAGCACGATACACACAGCTCACTCGAAGTTAACAGAGGTCTTGATCATGCCTACCATGACTAGTGAACTTGTCTCGCTCACAAATACAGGCACAAAGTGCACTATCGAATAAAATATTATTAAAATCCTCAGAAATGTATAGAATTTGTCGGATATTTTGGAAGTCAAGGCCTAATACAACAATTAAGGTAGGTCAGAACGTTCTTTTTTCTCTGCACAAAAAACGTACATAAAAAAAGATTAGATCGAAGAATATGACAAGAAGTGTCATCTTTATCATTTTTTTTCTTTTTCTCCTTAACATATTCAGGCATGTTTTAATCCATGTGCATCGGTCAACCAAGGGGATATGGATCAAAACAGGACCTGAATATGGTATGTTATTAATTGGGAGAATCATCTTCGTACATAATCATCAAAAACATAATGTAGTAATTGAAAAATGCAGTAGAACGAAATATAATATACAAGACACTTGGAAATGAAGTTTTACCACAACCGAATCATCATGTTGATGCTCGGGTTGTTTTTGAATGGGCTGATGCTCGGTCTGTTTCTGAACGATAAGCTCTTGTTCATTTGCAATACTATGGCGGTTGAAGTCGTTCTTGTTCTGCTTCTTATTAGCACGAGCTCGAGAAAACACCATAGAGTAGTCGGTATCACCAACCTTGTGATCCCACCCTCCAAACTGAGGAACCGACATCCTAGTAGGTTTCTGAAAATATAAAATATCAAACAATTAATAAATAATATCATCTTTCAAAGTCATAAAACTAGTAATTTACAATGTGCATATTCAAACGAGTAGTCTTTGTTGAATGTGTATGAATAAAAATCTATCAATTACGGTACTTGAGCTTGGATTGGCCAACATCCCCTTGATTAGTGCACATTGCCGAATGCAATTCAAGTATCGCACGCTGACAAGGTAAATATTGTCCCTAATGTTGGATGTTATAATGATGCTTTGTGAACTACGGTACTTGAGCTTGCATTTGTCAACATCCCCTTGGTTAGTTCACATTGACTAATGCAACTTAAATATCGCATGCTAACAAGGCAAATATTGATGATCCGTTAGCTATCATGCTAGAGCTTGCATTGGTCAATATCCCCTTGGTTAATGCACACCGACCAATACAACTCTAGTATTGCATGTTGAAGGGGCAAATACTGTCCTTAATGTTGGATGTTATATTGATGATTTATATAACAAGATAAAAGCAAGCTATGAATGGAATTGATAAAGGGTGGTCTTGATTAACAACCCTGCACAAAGCAAAACAATTTTACATAGGTGAGAGTTGCTGCTAATCAGACGTAAAGTAGTGTAATAAAGAGTTGCCTCACATAAAATACAAAAAATATTCAATTTGAATGGTTATACGTGATCTTATGGTTGTTTTAGTGCAAATTTTTTCAAGTTAAAAATTGATAATCAAATTTAGAAGTTAAAAACATTCCTCTAAATTTCAGATAATCAGTGTTTTTTTAAACTTTTTTTAAGCTATAATTGTCCCCATAAACTATAAGCAGTACCAAACATTCAACACATTTCCAAAATAAAAAAAAAAAGTTACAAGTAGCTTAAATAAATTGGACTAAACATGACATGACTATAGAATTGTATCAACAACATTGTATTAAAAAACAAAAAATAAAAAATAAAAAGAATTTTATCAATTTTCAAAATACTTCAGCAGCTCAACACTTGCATGTACACAAACATTACATGCAATGATGCAAGTGAAAGTGCAAAATGATAAGTATAAGAATGTGTAATAGATGTCAAATGACGGTAATTAATATAATGACAGACATGAATATAAATTTTAAATTCATATTTCATGCAAATAAGCAAAGGTGAGAACAAGGAAACTATGATAATGCATATAGCCCTTGATAGAGTCGTATCAAACAAAACAAAAGTTAAAAAGAATTTTATTAACTTTCAAAATACTTCAGCAGCTCAACACTTGCATGTACACAAACATTACATGCAATGATGCTAGTGAAAGTGCAAAATGAGAAGTATGAGAATGTGTAATAGATGTCAAATGAAGGTAATTAATATAATGACAGACATGAATATAAATTTTAAATTCATATTTCATGCAAATAAGTAAAGGTGAGAACAAGGAAACTATGATAATGCATATAGCCCTTGATAGAGTCGTATCAAAAAAAAAAAAAAAAAGATTTATGTAACTGATCCTACTTGATTGGGATACAAGGTTTAGTTTGGTTTGATTTGATTATTGAAATTACGTATAAGAAAAGTACCTTGTCGCATTGACAAAAACAATTTTAAAAAAAATGTAACAAAAAGAAAAATGTACACAATTGTTAAATTTTTCCGTCATTAAAAATGTCTTTACACAGTCATATAAAATGTTGGGGGAAGGGAACACAAGAAGAAAAAAGAGTATTTTTTTGAATATCCATGAAAATCAATATTTCTTTAAATTTTTATTATTTGGAGGAAACAAACAATATCAAGTGTTACGTGGATAACTAATAAATATGTTGAAAAAAATCATGAAAAATTAAATTGAGTTTCATGTTGTGCCTTGTCATGAATTTTTTTTTTTTAATATTATTTTTAAGAACGAATTGTTATATATTTCATGACTATTGAATCACTTGACAACGATTGCTCTACAATGAATGATACTTTTAATTTAAAAAATGTTCGTGAATACAATGAAAAAGTTTCACATAAGAATGAAAATATTCACTTAAAAAAAAAGAGAAGGTGAAGAAATTTCATGAAAAAAGAAGAAAACAAACAAAAAAATTGATTACTTTTATTTTTTTTTTTGAATATGCATAGAATTACCTCCCGTTTTTCCATGGTGGATTGAGAGGAAAGGATAAGAGAGAAGAGGGTGGAATTGTTCGAAAAAACAAAACCACTATGATTATTCTTAATTACATGATTCTCTATTTTAGGATAATCTAAACATGCTTTAGGATGTTTTGAAATGCAAATAAAAGAATAGTTTGATTTCTATCCATTCACATGCTTGTGTTAGAGGCTGTAGTAACACCTCAAAAAACTAATTCTCCGTTAAAAACTCTTCTGTCAAAATTGGATAGAGGGAGGAAAATGAAATGGTGGACTTAAAAAAAAAATCCTAAATTTAGATATTTTTTAAACCTAAATTTAGCTTCTTTTTTTTTTCTCTTCTTATTGTTAGTTATACTTGTCCAAATTTATTCAACTATAACTAACCGAGACTAGTTCGATTCGAGTCTTGTCATAGATAAAATGGAGCCTCGTCAATCTAGGACTTCCATCCAATTTACCAACAAAATAATTATTATTATTTACCACAAGAGTTTTAGCTCTTGCAAAATTTTCATTTATCCTTATTTGCCACGTTTGGACTCTTGAGCTTGGTTCTCCATGCACTAAGACACAAAGTTTTGATTTTAGTATTGCTACAAGTCGCTGCTAAGGTTTACTCAACTTTTTAAATACACTTTACAAAATTATGTCCAATTACACATTAATACACTTTACAAAATTATGTCCAACTACACATACCTTAACGCGTGACATAATTTTAAATATTTTAAAATACACCTTTGTTGGGTAAGAAGAGTATTTTTAAACTACACATAATTATGTTGGGTAAGAAGAATATTTTTGTTGGGACACGTAACAACTATAATATTTCTTTTAAATATTAGAACAAATAATGAATGTAACATTGGTAACCGACATTAAATTATTAAGAAATCTATTAGACACTGTAATTATGTCATAGATTTTCTAATGTAATGTAACTACTCACAAATGAAGGAGACAAATCATAAAGAAGTAAAGTCCAAAAAATAAATAAATTAGTTCGAGTTGCCCCATGTGTAGACGTTCCCGAACGTCCTGGGAGGAAATCCCCTGTTTTGTTCATTGGGCTCACTACAGTTCAGGACTCAATGTCACGGTCCAGTATCTAATCTCGCAGAGTGCAATGCAAGACCGATGAATCATCAAAGAGTCCAAATCCGGCAAATCGTTTTTGAAAACAGATTTTTTTGAAAGAAGTGCCAAACATGGACTGCTTTGCCAGATACAGAGTCACCACCTAAATATTTTATTTTGAAAAATTTAGGAAACCCTGACTCGGTGCCAAAAGGCCACGTGTCCGTCATCACCAAAGTTGCCTCTCGGGCTCGGGAACTTGGGTACGATTGGGGAAGGTCACTTCGTGAGCACCCCCTTTCGCCCGATCAAAGATCGCCTCTACTAACCATGATATCTAATTTTGAAAACATTATGCGTTTTCTTATTCCGGTTATTAGCTAGATTTACTATGTGATGCACACAGCATACAAGTGTAGACTAGATCGCCTGAATTGGAAACAAAACATCTCATGTTTGTTTATTTGAAAATGGTTTGATGGTGCTACTCGTAAGTAGGCTAAGACGTGGATTTGCCACCCTCGGGTGGGCTTAGAAAAAATGATTTTGCCAATCTCAAGTGGGCTTAAACTACTCGCATTTAATGAATTGTTTCAATCCAGATACCCAACTTTCACCCACATGCATTCATGATGATCAGTAGTATTACACATACAACAG